GAGAGAGGGAGAGAGAGAGAGAGAGAATGGGAACAGAAGGTGAGAGACAGATGGATAACGACAGACAGGGACTGAGAGGGAGAACCGTAACTCACTCTTATGTATCTGTTATTCTGTAATATAAACCACCCCGAACCCCTTGATCAGATTCCAGTCTGTAACTCCCTCCCGGGATATCTGTTATTCTGTATATAAACCACCCCGAACCCTTCAATTAGATTCCAGTCTGTAACTCCCTCCCGGGTATCTGTTATTCTGTATATAAACCACCCCGAACCCCCTCCATCAGATTCCAGTCTGTAACTCCCTCCCGGGGTATCTGTCACTCTGTACATAAACCACCCCGAACCTCCTCGATCGGATTCCCGTCTGTAACTCACATTCTGTTATTCTAAGTATAAACCGCTCCTAACGTCGTGAGTAGATTCTTGTCTGCAACGATTTCCTAGTACTGGTTCTCATCGAGATATATAGACCACACTGAACTCCTCAGTTATACTCTGGTCTCTGGTTAACTGGGCCCTGCTGGTTTGTCGCCTCCTCAATCTTTAGGACAGGTTTGAAGCTTGGGGTTATAGTAACCGGGGCGGGGGGGGGCCTGGGATGTGATACAAACATGTTAACCCCACTTCCCAGTGAGTATCTGACAGGCAGGGCTCCCCAAGGAGGGAATTAAAACCCTAAATGAGAAACTTTCTCCGAGGACTCGCTCTAAAGTCAGGGTAACGTGCGATGCGTGCGGTCCGGGACGATAATATTCGATAAGTCGCACAAATAAGATGCACGCCGGACGTTTCAGCTCAGTTCCCTCAGCATCTGGGAGGGGATCTCTCTCGTCTTTCTACGTCTGTCTCCTCCCCTGACCCCTCTCCAGCTTCCTGTCTTCGATTTCTCCAACAGGTGGAAACATCCCGCAGACAACAACGTGACCCGTCGTTGTGCGAGGTTGTGGGAGGGGAGGGATAGACATATTTTGCAGCACGAGGTGACATTCTTGAGGCAATGTATTCGTGTGTCTGTTTTGGTGTGTGTTTCTGCGTGCCTGTCTGTGTGAGTGTGTCTATTTCTGTTTGTCTATATGTCTGTGTCTATATGTGTGTGTCTGTTTCTGTGAATCTGTGTGTATGTGTGTGTTTCTGTTTGTCTGTGTGTGTGTGTATTTCTGTGTCTGTATGTGTTTGTGTGTCTGTGTGTGTGTGTGTGTGTGTGTGTGTGTGTGCGCATCTAATTCTGAGTGTGTGCGCGCATATGTCTGTGTGCGTGTGCATTTCAGTGTGTCTGTACGTGTGTGTGTGTATGTCTGTTCGCATCTGTGTGCAAGCGTGTGCGTTTCTGTGTGTGTGTGTGTGTGTTTGTGTCTGCGCACATGTGTGCGTATGTGTCTCAGTGTTTATAGGAATTGGAAGGTCATGTTGCAGCTATGCAGGTCATTGGTGTGGCCAGTTTAGCAATACTGTGTTCAATTCTGGTCTCCCTGCTGTAGGACGGAAGTTGTGAAACTTGAAAGGGTTCAGAAAAGGTTTACAAGGATGTTGCCGGGGTTGGAGGGTTTGAGCTACAGGGAGAGGCTGAAAACGCTGGGGGCTATTTTCCCCGGAGCGTCGGAGGTTGAAGGGGTGACCTTATAGAGGTTTATAAAATCATGAGGGGCAATTGTTAGAGTAAATAGACAAGGTCTTTCCCCCCCAGGGGGTGGGGAGAGTCCAAAACTAGAGGGGCATAGGTTTAAGGTGAGAGGGGGGAAAAGGGACCTGAGGGGTAACTTTTTCACACAGAGGGTGGTGCATGTGTGGAACGAGCTGCCAGAGGAAGTGGGTGGGGGCTGGTACAATGACAACATTTAAAAGGCATCTGGATGGGGACATGGATAGGAAGGGTTTAGAGGGATGTGGGGCCAAATACTGGCAAATGGGGACTCGATTAATTTAGGATATCTGGGTCAGCATGGACGAGTTGGGCCGAAGGGTCTGTTTCCGTGCCGTATGTCTCTATAACTCTATGACTGTATGATTATCACTTCTGTGTAAACGGAGACCGCAATTTGAATATAATGCTGTCTGATTCTGCAAATTCTGAGACATTTTAATCATCTCTCTCCATCATTCCCAGGTTAGTTCCCAGGCTGTGCAAGTTGCTGTTCCCTTATAGATTTGACATTCTTGTGATAGTGTCCTGACGAATCCCAGATAATCGATTTATCCTCATCACCACAGTACATACAGGCCTCAGCGTCATACAGACGTTACCTCACGGAAACAGACCTTTCTGTCCCACTCGTCCACGTGCTCCTTTCCTGACACATGCTAAGGTGCCTGGATAAATTAATATGGTGTGCAGTGGTCAAGATGTCTGCAGGCTCTTAGAGTGAGCATGGTAGCTCAGCAGTTAGCACTGCTGCCTGACAACCCCAGATTCAGGAACAGCTTCTTCCCTGATCAATGGGCTCTCTGACTTCAAATGGCATTGATCTGACTTCCCACACATCCTGTGCAGTGTTACCTGTATGCCTCACTCTGTCTAGGCACCCTATGATCTGGCCGTGCGGCTTGGAAACAAAGCTTTACACTCTACTTCGGCACACACAACTACAATGAATCAAATCAAATCAATCGGGTTCGATCCCACACCCTCGGGCAACTGTCTCTCTGTCTGTGTGGACATTCTCCCACTCCCCCCCATGTCTGCGTGGGTTTCCTCCAGGTGCTCCGAATCCCTCCCACAGTCCAAGGGTGTGCAGGTTAGGGTGGATTGGCCATGGGAAATTGTCCCGTAGTGCCCAGGGAATGGCAGGTTAGGGTGGATTGGCCGTGGGAAATTGTCCCGTAGTGCCCAG